CTCTTCTCTCTTTGCTCTCCAGAATGAAGAACTCTACAGCAGCATCGTGTTGCATCATCAGGACGACGCCGCAGGTCAAGGACAGGAAGCGGGCCATGAGGGCGAGGAGGTCCGCTACGCCTCCGTCCAGTTCAGACCGTTTAGAGAGGACAGGTGGGACAGTCAGACGCTTCAGAGGCCTGAGAGCTCAGAGGGATCAGAGAACGCAGGAAAAAAAACAGATCTGTGGTTTAATGAACATGGAACCTCCAGGTTCTTCTGAGCAACTCTCTGCTGATCAGCGTCTGTTTTTCTGATTCTGGGTTTTTTTTTAACAGGAAAGCAGAGAAGGAAGCGGATCAGACCATCTACTCCTCAGTAGCCACCAGAAGCTGAGCTCAGAACCCACTTCCTGCCAGAAGATCCACCATCAGGAGGACCTGGTCTGGTCTGCAGCAGATGAGAGCCACAGTCCTCTGCTTGGCTCCAGGTGCTGCCTGCAGGTAAACCTGCAGAGAAGAAACCAGAATAAGAAAACAGAATAAGGAGCTTTACTCTATGCTTTACGAAGAAATGAAATTCCAAAACAATTCCCTTCATTTTGTTACCAAGTTTAAAGACGTTTGGCGTCTGTCATGACTCGGCACTTTTGATTATATTTTTCAGTTCTTTTGTATTTCTTAGGTTACTCTCTGTCGCCCCCTTCTGTTTGTTTCCTTTCCCATTGGCTTCCTTCTAGATGCTTCCATCCACACCTGTTAGGCTGTGATCTGACGTGTTCTACCTGGACTGGATCATTCAAAGTCCGTGAAAATGAAATCTGAAAAACTCACACGGAGAGAAAAGACAATTAGAGGAAATTTATTGATACAATTACTTAGTCTTTGGCGCTCAGACCTCTGCAGGAAACATAACGCTGAATTTTGATTGATATGCATGAACAGCAGTAAAGAACCGGTCTGTTTCCCTCAGCGCCACGCTATGATGTAATCAATTCTGGTTCTAATAGGAAGCAGCCCATGAATCCAGACAGAGCCATACTCTCCCTGCAGCTCCTCAGCGCTGCTTCCTTGTTGTTTTTATACTTTGGATTTTTACCTCAGTTAAGTTATTAAATCTTCAAGACTCTGCGTCCTGAACGTTGCATTTGGGGCCTCAAAATTCTCCTACCCATCGTGACAGTTTCCCATCCAGGAAGATTTTTTAGTTCCAAATGTCAGAAATAGCGTTTAGTTCCAGGTTTTATCCAGCAGC